TTTATTCTCCGTACTTTCCCCCCCCCATTAATTATATGCGGCGATTTCAACAGCTGGAATACCATCTGGGGCTCAACAGTGAACAACACTCGTGGTACTGTTTTAGAAAAGGCCTACATTCAAAGCAATCTCTGCGTTTTAAATGATGTAAAACCAACTAATCATACTTTTTCACATATTGATTTAACATGTTGCTCTCCATCACTTCTTCCTTTGGTGTCCTGGTCTATTTCTGATAATCTACATAATAGTGATCACTTTCCAATCATAATCGATCTTAAACTTTCAACGTCCTCTGCTACTCCAGCAAAACAGGCCAAATTCCTCCTAGATAAAGCGGATTGGATCAATTACTCCAAACAAGTGGAGTCATTTTTGAATTCAAAGCCATTTAACGGAAACTGCAACCATGATGCTGCTATTATGTCTAAAGCGATTCGCACGGCTGCTCATCTTTCTTTTCCTCAATCCAACACCTCTTTTAAACGAGCTAGGGTTCCTTGGTGGAACAACACGCTTTCGTTTTTGAGGAAAAATAAAATGGATCTATGACACCGCTTTAAGAGATGTCCTGATCAAAATCACTTGTCATTATACAAAAATGCCAATGCTCTATTCAGGAAGGAATTACGGAAATCAAAGGCACTTAGTTTCGAACTTTTCTCGAGACGAATTCACAGAAATACATCAATGAAAGTTGTCTGGAACAAAATCAACAGACTTAATGGGACTTCAAACCTGAACGAAATTTCTGCCATCTGCACTCCCAATGGAACTTTAACTGACGCAGATGAGATTTCTAATTACTTTGGAAAAGTGTGGTGCGAATACTCCTCTGACAGCAACTTCTCCAGTGCTTTCATTGATAATAAAAGGACTCCAATATCTCCTCCAAATAATATCGATAGATGTGCCATGTTCCTGGAAAATTGCGTATCTACCTCAGAACTTGGAAGTTGTCTCTCCAATTTGAAGGGGAAGACACCTGGTCTAGACCGCATCTCATACCAAATGATCAGTGCTATGTCTAAGTCTAGTAAAAAGAAATTACTGGACCTATATAATACGGTATTTGTGACTGGCCATATACCTACATGTGGAAACTGGCAACAGTTGTTCCAATTCCAAAGCCAAAAAATGTCTCCATCGCATCAGATTATCGCCCAATTTCTCTTTTACCTTGCCTCTCTAAGGTATTAGAGAAGATTATGGCATCTAGATTATCTTGGTTTCTTGAGTCGAAGAACCTGATAACAAAGCAACAAGTTGGTTTCAAGCGGGGTAGAGGGTGCATCGACGCTCTGTTACATATTGATTATTTCACAAGCAAAGCAATTTCCGAACGAAATCACGTAACAATTCTCTCAATTGATTTCGAAAAAGCATTTGACAGAGTTGGTCTTCATGTTATCTTAAGACTCTTGAAATCATGGAATGTTGGACCCAAATTCTTCAACTACATCAAATCATTCATGTCGCATCGGCGGTTCAAAGTTAGAATCATCTTTCTGATTCCTTTCCGCTAATGAATGGCATTCCGCAAGGATCTCCTCTCTCTGTCACGCTTTTCCAGATCGCTTTCAACGAAATTCTTTGCCGTGTACCAAGAGTGGAACATTGTCTCTACGCGGACGATGTATACATTTTTACAAAAGAAAAAGACAACACGAAAGCAATCAACATCCTCGAATCTATTGCATGTGAGATCTCCACATGGGCAAACTCGTCAGGAGCTAAAATTTTTATACAAAAATCAAAAAAAATTTACATTTGTCGAAAACAAATGTGCTATGCAGGAAACCTACTGATGCATATTAACGACTTACCAGTACTAAATGTGCAGACGCTCCATGTTCTCGGGCTCACGTTTTCCAACAATTATCGTTGGAAAGCACATTGTCTTCGGTTAAAAAACTGCCTTTTAACAAGGGTAAATTTCATACAGTACGTTGCTTGGAGAAGCCATGCGCATATTAACACTATTGCTTATCTTACGAAAATGCTTGTGTTAAGCAAGATTGACTTTGCTTTGATAATTTATGGCAATAGCTGCAAATATAATATCAACATCCTTAAACCGGTCTATCACCAAGCCGTCAGAGCAAGTTGTTATGCTTTTCGGACGACGCCCATAAATAATATTATCATTGAAACTGGTCTCCCAACTTTAGAAAATAGATTGTATGAGTTAAAAGCTAAGCTTCTTAATTCAAACAAATCCATTCTTGGTGATGACGTAAGAAGGATTATTATTGCGAAGAAAATTCGAAAGTCACCATCTGCAATTGACCATTGTTTGTGCATCGCAAAGGAATTGAACATTCCCTTAAAAATTTCCCGCTCTTTTGGTGTTA